GTCCCTTCCAAACCTGGCAATTCTGTGATTCTGTGAAAGCTTGCAAAGGCACAAATGTAAAATAAGCATTGAAACAATCTCAAAAAAGGCTTTGCCTTCTGAAAAAAATGCTTTAACATAAGGTATATTCAGGCAGCTTTGCTAGTTAAAAAAACAAAATCTTTAAACATAACATGCTTTGATTTATTTCAGATTACTCAAGGGAAGTGTTCAAATTAAAACATTCTGTAGATAATGAGCCAGTATAAATAATTTGGTAATGTGCTTCGGATACTAGGTTAATTTGTTCACCTTTAGAAATCCTAGCTAAACCCATCAAGGCTTGGTGTCGCTCATACAAGAAACTAACTTGTCATTCAATGGTTTTAAAATCTAAGATCTATCCATCAACTCATCATGATTAACAGCGAAATTATCATGCCACCATGGTTTGCTGCTGCTAATAATTTCTTGCTATTTAACAACTCCTGCTTGCTAATTGCTTATTGTTTGATTAGTAAGCATTTCATTTCCCTTGCACACTCCCTGTGAAGGTTTAGGGTTATTAAAAAACCTTAGGCCACTGACTAGACAGAACCAGTTTACATTATGCATATACTACTAAATTGTATTTAAGTTATATATGAACATGTGCACATGCATTTGCACATATTTATGAGAAGTTCTTCAATGAAGCTCTTCAAACTATTTTCTTAACTTACACTCTCATCAAGACTAGGGGCTGGCTCACTACTCTTGTACCTTTTTTTAATGAGACAGGTTTTCAGAAACTATCTGACACTTTTGCTCCCTTCTATTTAGTTGAACAATGCCCATAAACTTCAGTGGACTCATACTGAACAAGGAATCCCAGACAGCTAAAAGTTTATTCATTACTGCATCCTTCATCCATTCTTTTGTTTGTTTACTACAAATTGTCTGTTGAGGAGAGAAATGAATCAGAATAAAATACAGAGGAGGAAAAAAAAAAAAGCCACTGGAAGTTTTCACTTTCAAAGGGCACTTTCAGTGCTGCATCTCCAGTATTTCATAAGATGTTAGGTAATTCTAAATTCAATCCCAGGTTATTTGTATCTATCATAAACATTGTTGCTAGAGGTAAACATGTTGTAAGAACCACAATGACTAAATGCTGTCCATATTCAGCAAGAAATCAGACCAAATAAGCCTCTCTCCAGAAAAGTTATAGCTGCTACAATATTTATGCAAGACATGATTGCCACAACCTGCAGGAGGTAAAGCCACAGTCAGAGAGTGAAATGCCATGCAGGACAGATTACATGATATATGTGAAACAGACAGAAAAAAATGTGTTCAGTAAGCAATACAGACTACCATTAATAATGATAACGTGACTTTTCTATGAGATCCTCAAAGATAAGACTTTTAAGTTCCCTAACAAAGCAGGGATATTTTAATGGACAGAGAAAATCCTAGCCTTATATACAGCCATGACATTGCACTGTATGGAATTATAAAAGCGAACTGGTCTTCTACTAATTAACTGCTACATTCTACAAGGCTGCACAGTAGAATTATTCACCTTCCCAATTTATTCTAGCAATATAAAGAAGCATAAATAAGAAATTAATAAAAATTACTGGTATTTTCAGGTAAAGTAATTAAAAATCTCTCCCTTTAAAAACATTTAAAATCAGCAGCAGCATTACATGGAAAAAATGCACCAAACTAGGACAAAAGCAGTTTAAAGACCCAGTTCAGGCTGGCCCTCTATTGAATTCATTTAAATTTCTGGGAAAGCAGAAAAAATTCTACAGAGTGCTTGGGACCACCCATCCAAATTCCACTCATCTATGAGAAATTCCTGTTCAGGCAAACATGGCAAAAAAAAGGAAAATCCAGATACACTTCTTTTCACATATGACTTAGGAATCATTCAACAGAGAAGTTTTCTGATATATAAATTAAGGCCTTTGTGTCAGACTCTCAGCTGATCAAGGAAGTGCTTGAACTTTTCCTCTTCCCTTCCTACTTAATTCTCTCCCAAGCCTGCAGACATTGAAGTCTATGCTCTCTCTGAATTCCCAGTACTCATTTCTTTCAATGTCTTTATTTATTTTTAAGTACACCACCTGCACTGTTTTAATGTGTAGGCAGGAATCATATTCTATAGCCTTTTCTCAGCAAAAAAAGTTTCTTTTTGCATCCTCTCCGTGCAGAGTAGTTCCTATTAGCTAGCTCTAAACTCCTCATCTCTCAAAGACAAAAAACCTCACCTCCTTCTACACCTTTAAAATACTTTACTGAAGCTAACATCCATTATGCTTTTCAGGCACATCACCTAGCAACCTGGGAAGTCTTAGAATTAATATTGTCAATTTTGCTTGAGATAACTACTTGCAACAAAGACATCAGATTGTTATTTCTCATCTGTTAGCTGTAATTATAACTTCCAGATTTCTGGGAAAATTTTCCCAAATGAAATTATGCTCCATATTTACATGGAAAAAAAGATTACATACTAGTTCCACTTGAACTCTAAGTTGTTTTTGTTTCTTACACCATAACCTTGTAACAATATCATTTTACCAGTAGGTTGTCCTTAGACTGCAACATAGAAAAAGGATAAAAAAAATTAGAAATTGTGTTTGAGGGAGGATTCATAAGTACACTTACAACATACTTATTGCCTTTTGGATGTTTATATCAGGACTACGAACTAATGAAGCATTACAAAGGACATCTGTAAAAGTAATTTCTTGGTATGGGTTTAATATGCATGAAAGAAAAGCTAGTTTTGAGAATGGAAAGAATCAGCTCAGAATACATTTGTATTCTTTTGGCATACTCAAGAAATATGATTGTCTGGTGGGTAACTGTAATGGAAACCTGCAAAACTAGAATTACATTATATCTCAGGGTAGGAATTGTGGCATCCCTGAAAGCCTGTCCTTGAGTTCAGCAGGTACCGGTTTATTCAGGCCAAGCTCAGAAGAGAAATGTGAATTCACATCTACAATAAAAATAAGACCATTTCAAAAGGTACACTATTACACCTGAAACTACTACTACTCTTATGGATCTGAAACGTACATTGAAAACATTAACTTTTCTCTTTCTACCTAATAAGCCTTTTTTTCCTTTCTTTCTGAACGTTAAGTAAACAAGCAACACCCAGGGCAGCGGAATAGCTCTTCCAGTCCTGCATATGACTGAAGAAAGAAAAGTAGTCATGCTAAAGGAAGGCATGATGGTCACTATAGGAACATCCTTATTTTCAAGGTGTTTACTGAGAACAGTAGGTAACTTGCAATGTTATCACCCTCCCTCCCTATACTGAATCTTCTCTTAGAAGAAAGATTAGGTTACAATTGATACTAGGGGGTGAGGCAGAAAGAGAACGCATGGGATAAATAGACACTTATTTCAACCATCTCTTTGTCATTATGATAGGTCAGATTGCCTCTCAGAAAAGCAACTGCTGTTTTATAAAGAAAAAAATAATATTCTGTTTTTCAGATTGCATAACACGTAGATTCATGTGCGTATATGGCTTTGACTGACTAGAGAATTACCACAGTAACTGCTATAAAATCATTTACACGAACATTAATGGAGCAGAATTTTCATGTCTGTCAAAACACATTTGATCTTATCACATTAAACCAAAAGCTTAAAGTAACCATTGCTTAATAACTTGCGGCATTTATTCAATATGCTCTAAAGAATGAAAAAAATATATACTTATACCACAAATATTCTCTATTGCAAACATTTGAATTTCTAAAATAAGCAGCGATAAGCTTAAAAATCCATTCTAACATTACTCTTCTACAGGTCAGCTGCAAATTATTCTAAAAAGTTTCTTGGATAAAACCTGGATATTCATAACAATTTTTGTCTTCAAGTCATTTCTTAATATGCATTCTAAAATACAGATGTCATTATAAGTCTTATGAAAACCATTACTGAGTGTTCTATGACACAAAATTTGTTTACAAAAGACTTCTTGAATGATTCCACTGCTATGACAGTTTTCAACGAGATTCAAATCTCCTTCCAAGACTTCTGGGGAAACAAGTCTCCCCCACTCCTGCTAGCTAAACACAATGAGATTCTAACTAAATTATTTTACAGGATAGGTACAAATAATATCAAAAACAAATTCCAGTAGATTCAGATAATGAACGGATGTATAAGTGCACAGCAATAGAATTAGTCCCACAAGGTGCCAATAATTCTAGCTTGTACCAAACACACAAAAAATAACAAGATAAATTTCTCAATACAGATTTGTTATCCAAGACTAATGAAATACAGTCATTTCATAGACAATACAGTACCTGCCAAAATAAACTATGGGCATCGCCTGTAATCAGTTCAATAGTGTCCCCAATCTGGATATGTAATGGTGGACCATCCTGTGGCGCTGGTTGCGGTATTCCTTTGTAGTTTCGAATTACTTGCATTCTTGGTAAACCTGAATTTTAAATAAAAAGAACAACAACAACAAAAAAAAACAGCATATGTATTCCAGTTAACAACAGTTTATGAAATTTTAGGACCATAAAACCAATTAATCAAAAAGAACTGAGTTTAATAGGCATCTGACTAAGGCATAAAGACAAACACTTCTTTCACTTGGCTATCTTATGCAAGCACATCACATAAAATCTGAAGGTTTCATTCCCTCTTTTTTTTTTTTAATACTTTTAATGAAAAAAAACACAAGAAAAATAAGATTTTGTCTTTCTACCTTCTTGAAGCAAAGTTCAATTCATTTCCAAGAACACTCTACCTAGAAAAGCCTTTCTCTTCCTTCCTTTTCTTAATCTTTTTTTTTTTGCAAACATCCCTGGATCAGTCTAGGGTTAAAAACTTCACAGTATCTTTAATTCCAGGGGACAAAAAATGTGATAAATTGGAATTAAAGATAGCAATATGGAGAATCTCATAGCTCTTGTATGATTAAAAAAAGAACGCTCATGCCTAAGAGTATAAGGATGATGATCCTTCTAGGCTTTCCATAAAGACCTTTTCCTTCCAATTTCAACAATATTTTCAGATACACATAAGCAACTCCTATGTCAATTTAATGCTTCATTTTCAAGACAAGAACTCTGGTTGCATACTATTTCTTCCATATCAATACTGGCTGCACTTAGGCAGATGAACCATGATTTTTTAAATTTCTTTTTAATGGGAACAATCCACGATCTGGTTCATAAAATACTCTGCTCATAGATTATTCTCACTACCTCTGAAAACAACTAAGTCACTACTTGTAACTACAGTTCAAGAGCCCTTCTCAATTGGTTTATAATAAGGGAGAAGAGAGTTCAGTCTGAAGAGAAAATTATGGATACTCTAACTCCATGTTCTTATAACTGTATTTTGGACAGCTATTGCATTGCACTAAACCAACGCCCTGTGAGGTAATAAGAATACTTGAAATCGAGTCAAGAAGTACTGAATCCGTGAGAAAAAATATGAAGAACATGAGAGCTTTTAGGAAAGCTATTTTTTCAGTCTTAATACTGCTAAGTAAAGCACCATTTTAATGGAATAGATGTACCTTTATTCCCTCATCTTCTACTTTTAAATTACAATTTGTATGACAAAATCCCTGTTTTTATTTGCGCATAGATTTTTCAAGACTGTTAAAATTCAGTGGGCATCCTCACTTCAACACCAAAGTTTTTGATTAAGTGAGATTTTGTAAGAACATATATTAATATAGGTAAGAGTGAACATTTACAAAATAAAGGTGCAGATGGACAGCTGTACGACTGGATAGCTGTATGGATGCATAGCCACATTTAATCAGTTTCTAATTAATATAATCTGACATATAAGTGGGAAAAGATGTTAAAGACCATCAAATTCAACCAGCAACCTTACCTGCCATCAGTCCCATCACTAAACTACGTTCCTTATTACTAAGTCCATACATCTATTAAGTATCTTCAAGGATGACAACTCCAGCATTCTGGGAAGCCCATTCCAATGCTTGAATGCTCTCCCCTCAGCCTCAACTTCCTCAGATTAAACAGCCCCAGTTCCCTCATTTGCTCCTCACTGTCTTGTTTTCTACACCCCTCATCAGCTTAAAGCACCTTAATAGTGTTCTTTTAGTGAGGGATCCAAAACAGAATACAGTACCACAAACAAGAGGACAACTTCCCTAGGCCTGCTGGCCACTTTATTTCTGATGCAGGCAAGGATGACACTGGACTTGTTGGCCACAGGCTGGCTCTTGTTCTTGGCTGTCAGCTAGTACCCCTTGGTCTTTTTTCTGCCTGGCAACCTTCCATCTTCTCTTTCCCTATATAATGCTGCATGGGGTCGCTATGACACAAGTGAAGGACCTGGAACTCACCTTTGCTGAATGCCTTGCAATTAATTGGATGCAGCGTATCAGTTCAGCCTCCCCAGATCTCCCTGCAGAGGGCTTCCTACCCTCAAGCAGGTGAGCAGTCCCATATAACTTGGTATCACCTGCACATCTGTTGAGGGAGCACTCAATCTCCTTATCCAGATAATCAATAAAAAAGGTTAAACACAACTGGCCTCAACACAGAGTCCTGGGGAACAGTATCGTTGACCAGATGCCAACTGCATCTACCTCCATTCACTCACAACCACCCAACCATTTCTTCACCCAATTAAGTGTGCACCTGTACAGTCCATGAGCAGCCAGCTTCTCCAGAAGAATTCTGTGGGAAACACGTTTCTAAAATTCATTAGAACAACCTCACAGCCTTTCCATCATCTACTAAGCAAAAGTCATGTTGTCTCAGGTGATCAGGTTACTGATTAATATAGTTTAAACTGAAAGGAATGTTGGGGCTAGAACAGACGTATTTGTGTTGCATTTTAGGGAGATACAAGAAATACAAATATTCATGATCTCCTCTAAATTGTATAAAATCACCTTAGTAAGTACTACTCTGTAGTTAAGAATAAATACTAATCCAAAATGATGAAACATTAACCAAAATAACGTCAGTTCCCACATTACTCAAACCAAATGACATTATAACTTTCACTGTTTCTTCAAGTTGCTTGGTATACTTAAAATGGACATCTAATTATTTAGTAAGCCATTATTCCACTTAGGTAATTACCAGACTTGGCTTTATTTCTCAGTTTAAGGCTGACATGCTTTGAAATTCTGATTGAGCACCAAGAAACACTGCATCTGTTGTGTAGCAATAAAAGCAATGCCACATACAAGCATGTACTCAAAGCTGACAACTAACGCAAGAGACCTCCCTCATCACAATATAAATTATAGCACTGTATATGCAATGAATTGTAAACATGCACTCAAAGGCATACTTGGAAGCCTATCCAAACCTACAAAAACATTATTTGCTTTGCAAAACTTTGATACTGTGAATTCCGTTTATCGCATTACTAGTGAGAGATATTACGTACTTGAAATGCCACCACTGTATTAATCTCAGATGAGGATGAAGAAAGGTTCTTACGCACTTTTCAGTGCAAATCCTGTAATAATTAGTTTGGGGGTTTTTGTTTTAAGATAGAACGTTCCTGACATTGTTAAATTGTGTGTAAAATGACTTGTTATTTTTACTTATTTCACTGGTAATCATGATTTTTAACATGTATGTAAACCAGCCCAAGAGAACTTGAAAAAAAGCTGTGGTGCACCAACTAGTAGAATTATTCCAAGTATAACATAGAATTAAGCATGTTAAAATCCAGTATGCTAGAATGCTAATGTAGAATTCAGTGTGTTTAATTCTGTAAAATTCTACAGTAATTTTGATTATAAAACTCCCTCACCAGATAGTGCTAGATTTGATCTAATGTTTCTTGACATACCTAGAAATAATTCTATTGATTCAAACAGACTCTCAGGCTGGGGCCCCAGTTTTAAGAGTTTATTATCTTCCTTCAGGCACACTGTAACTTCTTTGGCATAATGCATACAGAAACAACAACTACAAAGCTAATGTGCTACAGCTAATGCCCGCTATCCTGACCTTATTTTCTACCTGTAGTTTTACTATCTACTTGTATCCAATAGTTGTCTTTCATCTATTTAGGAGTTCTTTGTGCTCAGAGTTATCTTTAGTTTGAGTAGGCACTGCCTAGCACAACATATACATTCTGCCACAAGACACATGGTTAGGATTCTTGAATATTGCAACAACAGAGAACAACACTGAGACTTCAATTATTCAATTACTTTCATTCATCTGCTTTAGTATTGATACTGTGTGCTAGTCTTATAAGCTAGAGATCAAAAAAGCATGTATACACAAGGGAAATTTTCCACTGATGTTAATTACTTCTTCATAGATTAGATTTGATTCAGATTCCTTGTACATCAAAGTATATCTGATCACATTCGAACAACATAGTGTCTGAGTCATACAGAATATCCTCACTATCACTAACACCAGACACTGAGTGACAGCCTGTATTGAGCAAAGATGCGAAAGAACTGAATGTGCAACTAATGAACTAATGTCTTTTACTCATCATATGAAACTATCAGTGGAAGTCTCTGTTAAATCATTTTGAACGTAAAAAGTTTCTCCAGAAACAAAAGACTAAAAAAAATCATTGAATCAAGCAGAAACAAGTACCTGCTTTTCTAAAAACAGCATTTCCTCCATAGAAAAAAGTTCCACTCACACCACTTTCCTTATATCACCAATAAGTGTAGAGAAAAACTTAAATCGAGTACAGAGAAGTTATTGAAGTAAAGGGTCAAACAGGTAAGGTAAGGTAATAAAACAGGCAGAAAAAAAGTGGTATGTAGCAGAAGCCTGAATTGTTTTATGTGTAATGATGGTTTATTTCGGATAGAAAAAGCACTGAAATACCACAGGATAAAACATTACAATGTGAAATGCTATAAGCATTAGACTTTGCCATTACTTTCTATACAGTTGCAGTATCTGACAACTACAGAAAGCTTCTGGGAAAATGTCTGGCACAATGTCTGGCACAAACATATACATACATACATATATACACACACATACATACACACACATATATAAACTGCTGAAATTTACTTCACCTGAAAACCAGGAAAACACCAAAATTCCCAAAGAAGCTTCACAGACAAGTGTTGGGTCTCACACCTAACACAAATCGTTTATCTAAAGTATTGCTCATGAGAGAAGCAGAAAGCATGCTAGCATCAGGGTTAAATAAGTACCAATCTGGCTGCGTTAAGAAAAATATCTTTCCTAAAACATAACACATATTTGAGTATTTATTTGTATAGTTACAAATTAAGGAAGAAGGTTACATTTTAGAACAAATGTAGTACATATAATGGTTACTGTAGCTTATTCTGTGTTCTTATAATTTCACATAACCTATTTATATTCTTTACAGCAGCTTTGCATTTATGAATGGCACCAAGTGACCCTTAGAGTTTCAAGCAGATTAAAAATGCTATTTTTTGCCAACAACATGCATAATGCATGCCCT